AATACTCGATCAATAATGCTCATCAGTTTTTGGAAAAGCTCAAATGCATGCGGATAAACCATGAAGAAGTGATGATATCCTTTGACGTCACCGCACTTTTCACCTCCATCAACTTACAGATAGCGAAAGAAAATAGCAAAGAACGTCTGAACAATAGAGGACAAACGACTGGGAAGCTAACAACTGAAAGCATATGCAAGCTCATCGACTTGTATCTTACTACTTACTTCAAATTCAACGGAGTGTTCTACAAGCCAGTTAGAGGAGCTCCAATGGGATCCCCCATATCTGGACTTAATGCGGAAGTCGTCATGCAGAGGTTGGAATAGGATATACTCCCAGTCATTAGTCCGAAATTATGGGTGCGATACGTTTGTGATTCTTAAACGCAACCAGCTACAGACCGCATAAGACCTACTTAACAATGCAATGGAAGGCATTCGTTTCACCATGGAAGAAGAGGTGGAAAACCAACTACCCTTTTTGGACGTGCTGGTTACCAGAACAGTGGAAGGCGAATTACAAACAACAGTTTACAGAAAAGCAACACACACCGATCAAATCCTGAACTTTAACAGCAATCACCCTAAGTGTCACAAAATAAGTTGTATACAGACCCTGTTTCGTAGGATAAAATCGCATTGCAATACTGCGGAGGCAAAACGAAAGGAAGAAGAACATCCGTTTATGTCTTTCATTCGCAACGGTTACCCACGCAGTTTCATCCGAAGACACCTAAAGCGAAGGAGCACAACTACCGCACCTGCACCAACAATGACGTAACACATCGTCTTGCCGTACATCAAAAACGTATCCGAAAAGACAGCCAGACTCCTCAAACCGCACAACCTGACGATAGCTCACATACCAACTGCGACTGTGAAAAGATTATCTAGACCTAAAGGAAGACTGGTGGTACACGAACGCCAAAATGTCGTCTACAGGATACAATGCGAGAACTGTGACAAAGACTACGTAGGTCAAAGGGGAGGAAACTATCCACAAGAATACAAGAGCCCAAGCGTGCCTGTCGATACCATCATGTATCGTCACAGATCTCAGCGCATCTCGATGAGAAAGGACACAACGTTAACTGAGACAAAACAGAAATTCTGGTTCACGGAGGGACGAGAAAAGGAAGGGAATTCCTCGAGGCATGGTTCTCTACTGAGAATTCCCTGAACCTTCGCATTGACCTCGATCTCGTGTACCTACAGCTGAGAAAGCGTGAAATTGGACGGCCAAAGAGAAGTCACGGGACACAAATCGACGAGGCTAATTTCAAACGCTACGTCCCGACGACACATTCCGTGATTTTCCTCTATGGAGCAGTGCAGTGAAGATGCCACTGAGGGAAGTAGTGAAACGTTTGTCATTAAATTACTCAGCTCGGAAAACAAATCGAAACGTTAACTTTGATAACATTTTCGCTGTTGTGGCATTTGCTTAAGATATCTTTTCTGATGTGTCGTACCTTACGCGGAGTTTTTGCAACAAATTTATTTTATACGCCCATTTAGTGAAGAGGTGCGTCACCGGATCTGTAAGCATTATCCGAGTTATTTTATTTGATTTCGGCTTTACAAGGGATTGGCTGTGGTTTGACATCCCAGGTGTGGGTGCGCTTGATGTGCATGTTGACAAGGTGCCTACCTCTCTATTACCCACTACCTCGTATATACTGGCTCCAGGAGACAGTTGGTCGTTGCTGGATGAGACGGGGTGCACTGTCCTCGCGGCCGTGATAGGCTCGAAGAGTGGTTCCATGAAGTCAGGTTGAAGCGGAGTACGGTCCAGCCACCGCCTTGTGTGCGCTTGATTCCCAAATACAGCGTGATTGTGTTTGCCTGTGAAGGAGCGTAGGCCGGCTCCGTTGATGAAACGTGGTTCCCATCCACATGCCTCCCGGTTTTAGTCCTTCGGGTTAATACTGGATATAGGGTGTGTGGATGGAGCTGTTGGTGGTGCAGCGCAAGCCACCTATGGTCGCTCTGTAGGCGCAAGGGTCCTGTGGCTTGCCACAGTGACAAGCAAATCCGAAACCGGATGCCGCCAACCATATATATATATATATATATATATATATATATATATATATATATATATATATATATATGCATATATATATATGCTCGGAGGACATAATCTATTGACATCTGGAGACATGTGGAGCGAAACTCCTCGTAACGGATGAACAACCAGTTTGCAATAGTAGGTTTGAATAAAACTGAGTTCAGTGAAGCGTGTCTCCAGTTTCTGTGAAATATACCAATTATTACTATTAATATTTTTGCCGAAGAAGATATTGGCATCGGAGATGTCACAAAAGTGGAATCTGATCGAGAGTTCATACCCATACTTTGGACGCCAGCAACTGATTTATAAAACTTTCCCCGGGACTTGTCAATTAACGCTTTGAGTACAAGGGTAGCGTGACTAGTTGCAACAGCTAGGGGAGTGACTGCAATCTCGTTGGGATGGGCATGTGATTGATCAAGCACTTCATTACTAGATGCTGAGCAAGTGATAAATGCTAAGTTCATTATATCACGGGAAACGTTGGTGACCACAGTTAAAGCCAGCTAGCAGCAAAACAAGCAACGGTCGCACTGTTCAACTGTCGGTAAGAAACGGTTGTGTCCGTGTCTACTGCCAAACACGAGGGACTTATCACGCTATAGTGCTACTTCACGCAGTTGAGTTTAGAGGAAGAAATTACTGATTTGCCCCAACGAACACGACACCTTAGAAACAGGAGAACAGCTACTGACCTTGACTAGTTAGAACTGTTTCGTAGCTCCTTGTTTTTTTAGCTTTCGGACCCAAATTTTATCGAACATCCGCCTGAGTACGCTCATTTGCTCTGGTTCGAGCAGGTCTTCCTATTGCCCATCGTCCTCGAAAGTACTCTTAACAGACCAACGTCTACCGTTGATTTTCAGTTTTGCTGTGTTTCGGCACAATCGCTCGCTCACAAGTGCACTACTTTTTCTACCTAAATCAAAGTTCTTGGGACCATTGGAAAGCATATTGCAAGGTCTATTTACAAAGACCTAAAGCAACTCCTGCTCTCTTAAAATTTACGAAGGGAAATGGCTGCATGAAACACTGAAGAGTCACCTGTCCACAGAAGAGCAGCTAGTCTCAGGGATAAGGTTTAAACCATGTTCTATGGATTGCTCCAAGCATGTGCTCCTCAACCTATCAGATGCATCTGACATCAAGATGCTGTATTCCCAGTGCAGACATCTGCGACAGCGCACGTCACTCAGCGAAGTAGCCTATAGATTACCGAAAAAGTTCTACATCTAGACCACAACTTCTGGGAAACTGTCGGACCACAGCTAATCCATAAACCAACAGGAAGGAAGGCTGCGCTGAGCCGTGGACGTTCAGCCTGTGCCATACACACAGTGATGGCAGGGTAAATGTTTCAGCTGTACATATGGGAACAAAACAATAGGCCGCAGGAACCAAATAATTTCTGTGTGTGACTTTCCCCCTACATAATCTTGTAATATTGTTATGTCACTACTGCAGTGCGAGGTAAGGTGAGCACAAGGGGTAGATATTGAGACATTCTAGAGAGATAATGAAGTTTGATCAAAATTGTAAACTAGGTCAAAGTGTGTGAGCGACTGAATATGAGGTAGCTAACTCAAAAATATAAAATTAACACGGAATTAAAGTAACATCGAATCACATAATCCGGACTGAGCCAGAGTAAACAAAGATTGGTTTGGGACAAGGAAGAGTTGGGGAAATAGTAGTGGGAAATAGCAAAGGGAACATCGAACGGAAAGAATCACGGGAGAGGAGATTCGGGACTCTTCAACGCACTTCCTAATAGAATTGTCAATACTGTAGACTAAAGAATCGAGTACACGTGGCATGTCATTGCTAGTGCAGCGTCAAAGTAACGAATCAGTTAAAATCAACGGGATGTGTTGCTAGGTGGCATCTAAACCACGACAACCGCTTAGATGTGGATTATCTAGCAGTACAAAACTAGCTATCGTATGAGGGTAGGTTGTGCGAAATTCCTGGAAAACTTTAGCCATGCAGCTCAGTTCCGTCGTTCGACTACCAACTGTGCACTCAGGTGTAGTGTATTCAGTTACCTTGATTCAAGTCGCTGACAGTAAGAATATATTAATAAGAATAAAATATGAGGGATGGACAAACAAGCAAAATAGTCAGTTGCAGTAGTTAACAAAAAGAATAAAGCCATCAAAGGTAAGAGCACCACTGAGTCCGCAACGGTGTCATGTCAAATGGGTTAGCCAGTCAATCACGTCATTGACTCCAGGAGGATAACAAGTACTATCTTTCTTGGAGAGCTTCTCCATGCTATGTTGCTACGCCGTCGATCAGCCACAAATCTCACCCAACTGAGCACAGTATAGGTAAAACTGCAGGTCTAGACAGAGGGCTATGAAGAACATAAGCTAGTAAGCGCAGGCAGTTCGAGTTCAACAACCACTCCAAGAGTCTATCGCCAAACACCAAAAGACGAAATTCGCCAGTACTCAATCAGTGCTCAAACAAAATGATGGATAACACCGCGAGCATATTAGCGCGGATCGATGATTATGTCTTGATCCACATAGTAATTCTGGTCGTACTTCAACGTCGTACCAGCAGTGGGTATCGGTGTGCAGCGAAATCGGAGTCGCTGAAGAAGGAGCGCGGTTTCAGAACAACGATAGAAATGTTGTAACGTGATAGATGGAAATTTCATGTGGACATAGCTTAAGATGTCTGTAGACATCAACAGATTGCTCTTGGAGAGCAACCATGTGAAAATGATCATTTTCGCAAGTGGCGACATTTTGGCAATGCAGAAATGAAGTGATCGATTGATAGGTGCCGAAACTAAGTACCTAAGATGATAGTGAATCGAGGACAGTCCGGGTGTGCAATGAGGACTAAGTCAGCAGCATGACACAAGAACAGCAGGTACCAGGGCAAGCGTACGCAAAAATGTCACCGAAACTTACTTCGTTTCGAACGCTTCTTGTACAAAACACGATGCCCACATTCTAAACATCGAACTAATTCACGCGGTCTGATCTCATTTTCTGCTCGGCATTCTAAATAAAAGAAAAAACGGAATGAAAGATGAGTCGCTAAACAGTGAGAAGTGCCTAAGATCCTAACATGGGAAGCACTAGCTAACTACTAAGGTGTGCTATCATACATTCACGGTAGAGAAAACACTGCCAACCTATCCGAAATGAACAGAAACAATTAGACAGCATACGTCATAAAGCAGGCACATTCGAGAAGTGGATAAAATTTAATTGACAAAACCAGCAGGCGGCTCAATCGAGTCGACAAATCGCGGTCCTCGTACCAAGGTAGATCTAGTCGCTTTAACTCGTGCATTCAAAACAAAATGGGAAATGACAAAAGGAATTGGGAAGAACAAGAAGCTCTGCAAGCGGAAGTCACGACATTTGGCTGCCAAACTTAACTACTCATTTTGAACCGTCGTCGTCGCAGTCGATGGAAATTACCCTCAAGAAGCTTCAAGTCCAGCAACGGGCGAACTTACTGCTGGTGTTAGCAACGGTTTGGTGATGCAGTTCGAAAATGCGTCAAGACTTGCATGAATTGGCCACTGAGCTGAGTGGTCCTCTCATATGCGCGTTTTCAATATCGCTGGACAGCTGAATCCTACCTTCGGAATGGAAGGAGGCAATCATCTGTCCGATTTTTAAGGGCGGTGACAGCGTTCTACCCACAAACTACCGGCCTGTCAGTTTGACAAGTGTAGTAGTCAAGTGGTTTGAAAAGTTGTTAAGGAATTCAGTGGAGAACCACCTGAATCGATTCAACCTTCTCAGTGTTGCGTAACATGGATGCCGCAAAGGATTTTCATGTCAGACTAATCTACTTGTAGCTCGTAAAAGCTGGGTCGAAGCAGAAGACAGTGGCCACGTTGTAGACGTGCTATTCGTAGATTTTTCGAAAGCTTTTGACACTGTTCCACATCTTTGGCTATCACTAAAGTTGAGATCTTACGGGATATCTGGTCGCGCCATTCAATGGGTGTCTGCCTTCCTTGATGGGAGGGAACAGTGCGTACGGGTGGGGCGTAGCCTTGCGCTCAGGCAAGCTGTCCTTAGTCGCAACTCGCAGGGCTTGGTATTGGGGCCATTGTTGTTCACGATCTATGTAAATGACTTGCCGGGAGAGCTAGGAGTGTCATCACTAATGGTTGCTGATGACCTTAAGCTCTAGACTATTGTGGATATCCCGAGGGGTCCTGAGGCAATTCAGCATGCCTTGGATAGGCTATGGGAATGGTCTACCTTATGGTTGATGCCCATAAATAAGGCCAAGTGCTCTGTTCTCCGAATCGGAGCTGCTAATCCTCCCACCCGATATGTTGTCGGCGGTGGTGAACTCCCTGTTGTCACTCAGCAGGTTGATTTAGGAGTAGTACACGCATCAGCATTTCATTCGGAGAAAAACTGGAAGAAGGCCGCTTGTCGAGCGTTTCGTATGATGTGGTTTATCCGCCGCTCTTTCGGAATCTAAACGGACAACTTATTTGTGAAGCTATTTTCGGCATTCATCCGACCACACCTGGAATATTGTATTCAGGCTTGTCCACCATGTCTTAGCCGAGACAAAATGGACTTGGAGAGGGTGTTACAAGTGGGCACTCGGTTAGTGCAGGGTATACGGGGATAGACGTATCCTGAACGCTTGCTCAGTTTAGGGATGTACTCCATGCACTACCGAAGGATAAGAGGGGACCTGATTCTCACTTATGGTATTTTGGCGGGTAAGATTGGCCCGGACTTGTCAGGGTTATTTAGTCCCGCTACGTTACCTAATCTCCGCGGTCACCCACTGAAACTGCATAAGCCACGGTCTGATAGGATTAGGACGGAAACTCGTCTATCGCGCCGAGTTATAGATCGATAGAATTCGCTTCCAGAAAACGTGGTTAGGGAACCTACGGTTAAGGGTTTTGCGCGCCAGCTCGATGCTCTTGGGTGGCAACAGCAAACTTTTCCTTTTTCCTAGCTGACTCCTCTTCACTTTTCAGTTCCTTTTTAATTGACACATATATCTTAATATTCCACTTGCTTAGCACTCCACATTCTCTTTTGCCTTCTGAGTTTACTTCTTTCTCTTTCTAGGTGCTAGGTCCACTTTTGTTTCTTATGTTTATAAACGACTTGGCTCCTCTTATTGAAGACCCCTGTTATATCTTTGCGGATGACTTGAAGCTAGTCAGCAGGGGCAACCGTGCAACACTGGCCAAGGATATCATCAGTGGGGTAAACTGGTCGAAGCAATGGGACTTGCCCTTGAATGCAAGCAAGTGCCAAATTCTGACCACTAGTAGAGACGTACTTGCAGTTCAGACTTCCTTTGGGCCATTCCCCTTACAATGCACTACCCAGGCACGCGATTTAGGAGTCATCATGACGAGCAGCTTCAAGCCTTCGATGCAATGTCGATACGCCGCCAACAAAGCGCGACGAGAATCGTTTCGCCTCAGGAGAGCTCGGTGTAATACCAAGCCAGAAGTGTTCCTGCCACTATACAAAGCAGTGGTTAGGCCACACTTAGAGTATTGTGTTCAAGCTTGGTCGCCCTATCTCCGTGGTGATGTTCTTTGCCTGGAGAAGATTCAAAGACTAGCAACCAGGATGGTTGAAGGTCAACAGGACAAGCCGTATGAAGATCGCCTAAAGAGCCTGGGGTTGTTTTCCCTTGAACGGCGTAGACTGAGAGGCGATCTGATAGAAACATTTAAGATCATGAAGGGCCTCAGTGCCATTGTACCCTCTGATTTATTTGAGCTGGCTGATTCTGAACACTTGCGTGGACATCGCTTGAAGCTCAAACAGCAGAGGGCTAGACTGAACGTCAGGGCTAAGTTCTTCTCGAATCGTGTAGTGCGCAACTGGAATAAGTTGCCTTCGGAACTAATGGATTGTGAGACTATGGTTGCCTTCAAAGCAGGCCTAGACAGGTGCTGGCCGCGTATTTTCCCGGAATTAATATAATCCTATCCAATTTATTCGCATTGATATCCGATGTTGATCCTTGTAAAAGCACAGATTGCTCTCGCTTTTGCTTCATTTCTTTTTGCAGAGGCAAGGAGAGGCGATCAAAAGTCGAAGTGCCGGGGCTCTGGTTCGCTTACCGGTACAAGAAGCTGGACGCTCGTTAAGCGGAAGCCTGTATCGTCCACGGATTTTGACCTGACCTGACCTTCTTACTTCGAAGTAATGCTGGACCGGTTATGTGATCACATAACCGGTCCAGAATGGACTGCTAGGGCAGGATACGCGGGCATTAATTGGTTGGACAGGGTGTGATGCGGCATTTGTTTTAGGTCCATCAGTATTTCAAAGTGGTTCAACGACCCGACGAAGAAGGAACACTCACGGGATCATCATAGCGTTCCAGTCCCGCTTGAACTTGAAGAAAACCATTTGAAAACAAGGGTGTAATTCGAAAGAGGTAAGCAAAGAGTAAGCATGGAATAGGAAGACAATCGGAAGCTGAAAAATTACTGATGAGTCTGTTCACTTCCGAACCTGAAGTACTGATAAAAGCAATCTTAAACTAGCCATATGCAAGCGAGGTCGTGTGAAGAAACAAATGAACGATAAGGGTTGTTTACCTAGCACTAACCTCCGCATATATAAGAAACCGTTCTTGAAAATTGCGGCGCCGAACCGCCTGCCCCAGGAGTCTCGCTACCGCGCTTAACGGATTCCATTGTGAGCACAGCCAATAAAGGTCAGGTTCCAAGAACGATTCTCGGGCTGCCCGGTAGTCGCAGACCTAGCAGGGTGCTTTAAAGATGATGACGTTGGTTAATTGGTCGGAAGGGAGTGAAACAATTGAGCTATAGACGCTGATAGTCTAATCTAATGTAACCTCAAAACCGTGTTTTAGTGTGCTAAAAAGCCATCAATTGTTTGCCGCCGATTCGAATGCTTATATACCGTTAACCAAATGCTGCAAATTCGGTAACTTAATTAGACAAAGAAATTTCCACACCCTTATGTCCAATATTGCACAGTGAGCGCATTATAATGCTAAAAGTCCGAATTAGGTCGCCTGTTTTCATGGATGCTGTATTTAACTAATTCGCAGTCTTGGAAGCCCGTTAAAAACATTAGATTTCCGCAACGTATACCGTAAAAGCTATCTTTTTTTAACAAGCCTGTTGGCACGAGAATCTGTTAATCATCCGTGGGTTATCTTTTATGCGTCTTCTCGGCGTCCTGTCTGGATGTCGTTAAATGCAAACCATAACACAGACGATATGTGAAGCAAAACGGTTTTGAAATGAATGCAAACTGTTGTCCACTCATGCAGCTGGGCACGTTGTGTTGCAAAATTGCTAATATCCAATTGGCGTTACTATGCGTCTACCTATCGATGTGGGAACATCGAAGTGTGTAATGCATGCAGATATATTTGCTTTAAATATGCGTAACACTAATGCAATATTGAAAAGTAAAGTAAAAATTATTCACTATAAGGTATAAAAGATAAGCATACCGTTTCTGAGCCCATTAATTAAAAATACCTGCCGTCCACTTTTAGTAACACTTGGGTTTGTGAGTTTCGTAGCAGTGGATACATCATAGCAGATATAATTAAGTGGCTTCCTTAACAGAGAAGCTTTTGTAAAATCATAGGAATCTTATGCAGCATTATTTTACCTATGAATCATTATTTTATCCAAACATATGTACAGCGAGGCCTCTCACTAAAGCGTGCTTTTGGCTACTCGCGGAAAAGCAAAAGGAGATGAAGGTAAATGTCTTTATATGTCCGTGAATATTTTTAACTAATGTACTAAATAATTAACGGCGCTGTGTAGTGTGTTAAATCCTTCTTTTTAACCGTAATTTCTGTCAGCGCAAGTGATCTTTAGCGCGCCATGGGTGACGAATAATCCGAACTGTGGTAAAACGTACTTACCAGTCTGTAATCTGTTACCGCGTAACGTTGACGGAATATGCATCCCTTCAGCGCGAGCAGCGAAAGCTTGTGCATTCGTGTGAGTGTTGTAACTCCATAAATGACCAGACTTTTGGCCCTCAGCATTGCAAATGTACACCTTATCGACGAAATTTTGGTCACCCAGTATATTATCCAACGCCCCTCGAACTTCAGCATCGAAAGTTTCATGGTTAAAATATCGTAAACATGAAGCGGAAAGCTACATATTAATTATAATTACGCAATGCAGTAGCCGCAAACCAAAACACTAAATTGATTTTGTATTACCAATTCTCGTCCAAACGAAACTTAATTAGGATGACTTTCAGCCAACCGTATGCATTATCTGATGCTACCACAGCAGTATTGTGAGTGCGCTACTGTCGGAGCCTGTATACTACAAGCACAACCCTCGGAGTTAGATAATATTACAACACACCTGGGTCCCAGCACATCGGCACCATATGTGCCACTGATGGAGCCTATATACGACGACCACGAGACTTCAAGCCGTATGCTAGGACAACCCAACTGAGTCCTATTACGTTGACACAAATGTGCCACCGTTGGAGCCTATATACAACGACCACGAAACTTGGAGCCGTGCGCTATTACAAACCACTTTTGTCCTATTACATCGGCACCAAATGTGCCACTGTTGGAACCTATATACAACGACCACGAGACTTGGAACGGTGTGCTATTACAACCCACTTTTGTCCTATTACATCGACACCAAATGTGCCACTGATGGAGCCTACATACAAAGAGCACGAGCCTTGGAGCCGTGTGCTATGACAACCCACCTGGGTCCCAATACCCTGGCAGCAAACGTGCCGCTAGTCCAGTTCATTGTTTAAAATGCTCTAATTCCAACTGAGCGCAGAAACCGATATAAAACTGTGCATTGTATTTAACAAAAGGCAGCGAGAGAATGTTCAGAGTTGTCCACTATATTCATGCCTTGGACGCGCATGTCCCATGGAGAGTATCACTACACAAAGTCGTATTCATCGGCTAAAATATAATAGTAGTGCGAACATATAGCGTACTGTCGGGTAATTGAATGAGTTTTCATCTGAACAAGATTTTTCCTTCTTTGCGTCTTCTTTACTGGGCTGGCATCCATGTCGAATCTACAATGAAGTGAAAATGGGAGTTTAAATTGCACGGAATAGCTTACTTTGGCACTTTATTCTGCCCAATACCTCTGTTTGAGGGGAATTCCACGGCTTCCTTTCGACAAGCTATCGATGAAAGGTAAGGAAATAGATCACTAGTACCAGTTGGGGTGTTTTAGCGGATAAGGTCCACGAACTTAGTGAACTCTTCGTCCGACAGACGGCGAATGATAGCGTGTCGCTCAAAAAGATGGCGATTAACTGGGTGATTGTGAGACAGATCGAACGTTGTGACTTTTAGCTTGCGTCCGGTTTTAATGAGGTTAACACGAGCTTGGCAGTTAGTATTACGTTAGCTTAAAGATTTAGAATAATAGAAGCGAAATCCTACAAAAGCACATCTCACACCTGTAAATTTAGACTTCCGACTTGCGCAGCGGAAACATCGATAAATGACCCCGTCGCATTTCACCCGTGACCGGTTACAATTTCTGCTGCTGTAGCATACGAAATTGACGTAATGAAGAAGCATAAAGTCTGAAAACAAACTATTAAACTCGTAAAAACTATCAAAAGAACGCCCAAGGAAGATTCTCCGGAAATCAGACTACATGCGGACCGTGTGATTACTGTAACAAAAATTGTGTTGTTTCGGGACGTTCCGTGGTACAAATGGTACATAGCAACGTGGTTACCTAGCGACGTTGCCAAGGAGGATGAATGTGCAATAGGTGGAAATAGCTGAGTGGTGTGTGGAGAAATGGATTGTGTGTTAATTATGATGCCATCGGAAGTGTTACCGGTAAGGGTACATATGTGTGATAGTTGTTATAATATTTGGGTGGCCATAGTGGTTTTTCTGCTATCGCTATGGCTGTGAATGATGGTGAGCTGTTCAGATCTTTGGTTATTAGGAAGCATGGAAGTGTTGAAGACATGGATGAGCTAATCGGACGTCTTCAGATTAAATTGTTGACATGTTTTTCCAGCGTGGAAGGCGCAAACACTTGCTGGATGGGGACGCCAACGGCTACATGCTGTACGGTTGCGTACATTTTTGACGTTCAGGATTGCGTGGCAAACAGTAAGTTAATATTAATGTAACACGGCTGCTAACGCATGTAAATGCGAATGAATCTGCAAACCGGTGATCACTGCGATATATTTCTGCCAGAGACAACACGGTGCTACGCGGTAACTATTCGTTTTGGCGTGCCATACTGATGGAGATTTTTAGTTGCAATAACGTGGAAAACAGTGGTTGAATAAAGACTTGAAACGAAATTTGACTGTTGTCAAATTTACTGTGATCCAAGATATGTTGGATCGATTAAAGCGGTTCTGGTCAAAGCGTCTTCTGCGCCTACTGGTAATTTTTCCGGTTTTTCCCAGTTTTAACCCCGTTTTTGCCTTATTTGATGTCGTTTAACTATTGCATACGTGTTATCATCACTCTGTGTTCCACTATGTCAGCCTCGCAATGCACCGAGGCTGTTGTTCCTGAGGGCTCGGATTCTGAGGTTATCGCACTTTGTGGCGGCCCAAGCTGCAATATACCAGTAACTGACGAATCTGGCGGCATGCAATGCAATGTCTGCAACCGATGGTACCATCAGTTTTGTACGGAGCTGAATACCGAGCAGTACGCAGCGCTGGCCTCTAGCGGAATGTTGCTTTTCAGTTGTGCGAATTGCTGCAGCCGCCGGCAAGGCCGCACAGTATTTCGTAGGAGAGACGAATCTCTTGATACCCGGCTGCGAAATTTAGAGCGTTCGTTCTGTTATCAAGAAGGAAAAGCAGACAACATCCGCTATAAAGCCTTCCGGTGAAGTCGATGGCCCTAACAAAAGTAAGACATCGACAATGGAGCTAAAAACGTACGCTGCTGTTGCTACATCATCGGAGGGGCTAAAGACAGTTCTATCACCAGTGGTGAAGGCACCTGCTCTGAGAACTGGTGCGAAGCACCGAGTAGAGCTTGCTCTGCGTAGCTGCATCATTCGTCGTTTTTAGACATGAACACTTTATTTATCGTTTCCCTCTCTGTGCTTTGCCTCTGCAAATTGCAGGTCTAGTAGCATCTTGAATTGAGACACTGTGTTGGCTTCTACTATATGCTGAGGCAGGTCGTTCCAGACATTCACCACCCTGCGTTCAATGCAGAGTTGATGGGCGACCCGATTCAAATCCGGACGATAAGTTTATACCGGTGTCCTCGCGTGCAGCTCGGTGTGCGCAGATGAAGTAGTTGTCTCAACATGGGGTAATCCCCAGGTGTAAAATCCGGTGCGTCATGATGACGCCTACTCTCAGCCGACGATAGGATAGGGTGTATAACCCTAGTTCCTTATATCGGTCTTCGTATGGCATACCTCGTAAGTTGGGAATCAGCCTGGTGGCTACATGCTGCACCCGCTGAAGCTTTTCTGCTTCGCCCCGGGTGATGGGACAGTATGCGGGAGTGCCATACTCCAGCATTGGTCGTATTATCGAGACGAAGAGGCGAGTAGCAATCTCTTCGGACCAAGTGCTAAAGCTGCGCCTGAGAGCCCATAGCATCCGAAGGCTGCTTTGGTACAGCGTATTCGTGTTGTCAACGGACTTTAGGTCACAGCGTGAGAGTACACCGAGGTGGCGCACGAAAGGAGCGGGATGCAAAGGTTGACCAGCCACTGTGTACGTTTGGCGGTGATCA